AAAGAGGAAATAAGAGTGATAGAAAGGTCATGTGCTCGCTATAAGATTGGTAGTTTTGCACCTTTTATATTCAGATTACTTTCAACAGAGCTGAAAAATGGGAATGCATGTACATTTCATGCTCAAACTTATACCAATGTACAGCTGTTTCTAAAATCCATAGTATTTGTGTAATGATGGTGGAATTTAGCCAGTATATTTGCTCACATGTACAATTTCTTTTACGCATCCACAAATCACCATTTAAATTAAATCCGTCTCAGTTCCAGGTTCATTCTGGGTAATAGTATTAACAGCCTTTCCTTTTTCATTACCTTTTTTGCTTTCTTGTGCAATAAAAATTGGTCTGTGTGTTCAGGGGTTTGGATGGATGGGATGATCTTCTGTTTTGTTGCCATGAAGAGAAGAAGGGTAGATTGGTAAAAGAGTGAGATGTCTAGAGAGCTGAAGATAGGCATTGGAAGGGCTGAAGAGGGAACCACTGTTAATAATTTTATACTGGACATCTTTATCGTTCATTGCAGTAGATGGTAGGTTTTCAGCAGATGGTAAAGTAAGTTCTGGTAAAGTTTCAGGTATAGAATATCTAGACGAAGGAGTAGGAGAAGTTCATCATAAGGAGGAACCAATAGACATACTGATATGATTTGGTTTGTGGCAACATGTTCAGCTTTTGAGCGGATTACCTTCATGATGGTTCTTGGAGAGTTCTTAGAGCTGGAGCAGAAATAAAAATTGATGTTCTGTGATGACATTGGATGTGCAACAAATTGCAGTAAAAGGAAATTAACTGTTGAGAAAGTGTGGTAGCAGTTATCTAACCTTCTCCTCTGTCATTACAGCATCTGAGATCTAACCTGACTGAATACCAACCTAAATTATACCAAGTGCTAGATGATGGGAAGAGGCTCCTTTTTTCTGTTAGCTGCTCAGAACTCGAAGGTCAACTGAACCAACTAGGAGAACGCTGGTTAAGTAACACCAGCAAAGTCACCAAGGAGCTTCACAGGCTGGAGACAATACTGAAGCACTGGACAAGGTAATGCTGTGTAATGGTAAATATAAAGATCTTCACCTGTGCTTTTCAGGTCAAAGCCATTCTGGACCCAGGCATATTTGATTCAACATTTAAAAGAAAGAAGGAAAAGTATATCATAGTTCAACTGCTCTTCTGTTCTATAGAAGTGCTGTTGTAGTCTCTCATTTATAATAAAAGATAAAGCAGATAAGAGCTGGTGCAAAGAAATGAGAAAATACTTTCTTAGATGATTGATTTAGAAGCCTCGTGTGCATATAGGTTGACCAGTTGTGTGTTTTGCTGGATGACATGAGTAGCCTCAGCATCTTTTAGTGGATTCATTGCAGCTTCTGGGTTCTTGTGCGTCTGTGTCATTGTAAATATGGAAGGGAGCTTTTGCTACCTTGCTAACGTTCATATGCTACTTTTGAAATTAATTATCTAACTGGTATAGAAGCTTTGTCTATGAATCCCTGGCTTATGTGTGGACACATATTCTGTTATCTTACTACTTGCTTGGCATGTGAAATTATATGGAGATGGTTTCTGAAAAAAAAAAATTAGGTTTCTGGTCTGAGATACTTCTTGGTAAAGATTTAGGAAGACTGAGCTTTCTAATGGAAGTGAAAAGTCTGTTTATGTGCTTTGGGTGGGGTTACAGCTTGTCCAAAGTGGTTTGGGACCTATTTACTGTCCTTCATTAAACTTTTTTCTAAAGGCAAAACTTAGGCACTCTTAGAAATTGTGAGCATAGTGGCTAAAATAGGAGCTTCCTGATGCCATGCCTGTCTGTAAAATTAAATTACTTCAGAATTTTTCTGAAATTTTATTTTAAAAAATTTCAAATCTGGCATTCAGTATCTTCCTCTAACACATGGAGGAAAAACTGCTCAGTTGGAGGCAAGAAGTGGCAATGACTGTTTCAGTCTTCTTTAAACATCTTCCCAGGTATCAGAGTGAATCAAATGAATTGACACAGTGGTTGCAGTCTGCAAAGGAGCGACTTGAGTTTTGGAGCCAGCAGTCTTTGACTGTTCCTCAGGAACTAGAAACAGTCCGAGACCACCTGAACTCCTTTTTGGTAAGCTGGTCACAAACCTGGGACACCTGTTTCTCTCCAATTACAGTTACACAGTTGATTAACCAAATGGTTATACTTCTTCTCAAAATTGATGAGTATGTAGGTATGCTGTTCTTCAAAATGCTGGTATGTGTGCACATTAAGCACTTCCTTGCTATATGCAAGGATTGTAAATCTTGAGGATTCTGAAAAAAGAAAAAGATTTTATGACTGAACACAGTTTTTGTTCTTATTCTGAAATACAGCTGATGAATACCAATAAAAAGTTTTAAAGGGAAAGGAGGATATTCTTAGCTTTCTGAGGTTTTAAAAGTCCAAGTAAAATAAAAAAGTATCTAATTATTTCCACAAAAAATGGTTCTGCTTACAGGAGTTTTCAAAAGAGGTGGATGCTAAATCATCACAGAAATCTTCTGTCCTGAGTACTGGGAACCAGCTCCTCAGGCTTAAGAAAGTAGATACAGCTGCATTACGTGCAGGATTGTCCCACATCGAAACACAGTGGACAGAGCTTCTCACACAAATCCCAGCAGTGCAGGAGAAGTTACACCAGGTAAGAAAGCCAGCAATGGCCTTCGATATTCCAGAAAACTGAGTCTGTACAGTTGGCACTGATTAGTTGCTTCCTTTCTCAATTTTTCCATGCGAGGAAAGATAAGGAAAAAAGTTATTCCTGTTTTACTGTGGGAAGGCTCATGCTTAGTTTCAAATCCTGCCTGTCTAGTACCCATCAGTATTACTTTCAGACATCCATAGTTATGTTTGTTAAATTTTAATGAAAGAACAGGTGGGGTTTTTTTCTACACATTGTTATGC